CGCTGTGGCATCACAGCTCACAGCAACTTCTAACTCTTGGGCTTAAGCGATTCTCTTGCCTCAGCTGGGACTACAGGTGCCTGCCACAACGCCAGGCTATTTTGTTGTTGTTGTTGTTGTTTGGGGCTGGGTTGAAACCTGCCGGCTCTGGTGTATGTGGCTGGCACCCTAGCCGCTGAGATATAGGAGCTGAGCTTGAGACAGAGTCTTAAGCAGCTGTTGTCCTAGGTAAAGGGTCATGGTGTCACAGCTCACAGCAACCTCAAACTCTTGGGCTTAAGGAATTCTCTTTCCTCAGCCTCCCAAGTAGCTGGAACTACAGGCACCCGCCACATGCCCAGCTATTTTTTTCTTGTGGTTATTGCAGTTGTCATTGTTTTAGCTGCCCAGCTGTATTAGAACCCACCAGCCTGGGTGTATGTAGCTGACGCCTTACCCACTGAGCTATGGGCACCCTGTTTTTTGTTTTTTGTTTGTTTTTAACTAAGTTGGTTCATTATCCTTCAGGAAGACATAGAAAATTTGAGGGAATTGAGGTATAAAGTCAATGAATTTCAAAGAGTTGTAAAAGCATGTTTGGGGGGGAATGGGACTGTAATAATTTAAAAAGTCAAAATAACTATTTTGGGCATTAAGTTCTATCATAAGAAAAATAGCTAAGACTTATTGAGCATTTATTATTTTTTAATTAATTAATTTTTTTAGAGACAGAGTCTCAAACTGTCACCCTGGGTAGAGTGCTGTGGCATCACAGCTCACAGCAACTTCAAACTCTTAGGCTTAAGCAATTCTCTTGCCTCAGTCTCCCAAGAAGCTGGGACTACAGGTGCCTACCACAATGACTGGCTTTTTTGTTTTTTTGGTTATAGTTGTCATTGTTGTTTGGCTGGGACTACAGGTGCCTACCACAATGACTGGCTTTTTTGTTTTTTGGTTATAGTTGTCATTGTTGTTTGGTTGTATAGTTGTCATTGTCCAGGCTGGATTCGAACCCACCACCTCTGGTGTATGTGGCTGGTGCCCTAACCACTCGAGCTGCAGGAGCTGAGCTCTGAGCATTTATTGTATTTCAAGCACTTTACTAAATGCTTCACATAGTTATCATTAATTCTCACATTCTACAAGATAAGTATTGTTATTTTTACTTTATTAGATGAGGAAAAAAAGAGGCTTAGAAAAGTTAAATAATTTGTCTATAACTCAAGTCTGTCTGATTCATGACAGAACCTGTGCTTTAACCACCGTACCATACTATAGACCTGGATTGCATTTCTTGACTGGGTGTAGGGCACTCACACATACTCTGTATCCAGAATATGTAAGGAACACTGGCGACTCAGTAACAAAAAGATGACCCAATTTTTTTTTTTGTAGAGACAGAATCTCACTTTATTGCCCTTGGTAGAGTGCCGGGGCGTCACACAGCTCCCAGCAACCTCTATCTCCTGGGCTTAGACGATTCTCTTGCCTCAGCCTCCCGAGTAGCTGGGACTACAGGCGCCCGCCACAACACCCGGCTAAGGATGACTCAATTTTAAAATGAGCAAGAGCCAGGCACAGGTGGTTCATGCCTGTAATCTCTGCTACTCATGTTACCAGTATTGTCCCTATGGCCAAATGAAGAACAGGAACAAGCAACATGAGGAAAAGGAAAGAGAAGTTTATTAACTTGCCAGTAAATGAGGAGGATGGTAGATTCCTGTCTGAAAGCGTCAGCATCCTGACTATAAGCAGAAATACAGAACTTTTAAAGGGGGAGGTCAGCTTCAGGCTATAACTGTTTATAATCTATAGTTCTGATTTACCCCATTTCCAGTGAAAACAATCTTGCGATTTCTGCTCAGACAACTCTGTTGAGCCATCTCTTGCATTACAAAAAAACAAAGAACATTTTCCCACCCCTCTGATTATAGTGCTCAGGCAGGGATGTGGGTTTTAGTTTCCTAAAAGGGTGAGGGGCTTTTAAAGTGATTGCTGGTAAAAACCCTTTTGCTCTTTTTCAGCTCTTTGCCTGTGTTATACAGCATTGAGGAAGGAGGATCCCTTGATGCCTTGAGACCAGGAGTTTAAGACCAGCCTGGGCTACATAGGTGACTCTATCTCTAAAAAACTTTTTGATTAGCTGGGTGTGTGGGTGTTACCTGTGCAGGCAGGGCCTTGGGTTCTCTATGTAATAGAAATTAACAAGAGGCCAAATGGAAATCACAGGCAAGGCATTGTTTTTTATTTATTAATTTATTTTTGAGACAGAGTCTCAAGCTGTCCCCCTGGGTAGAGTGTTGTGGCATCGTAGTTCACAGCAACCTCTAACTCTTGGGCTCAAGCTATCCTCTTGCCTCAATTTTTCTATTTTATTAGAGTTGGGAGGCGTCTCACTTTTGCTCAGGCAGGTCCAAAGTCCTGAACTCAAGCAATCCACCTGCCTCAGCCTCC